ATTTCGATATAAGCCAAGAGGAGACTGGTTTTCCTTTGCTAAAGTAAGGATACTTTGCTTCCTTTGCTCCTGTTAACAAATGTTGGTTTTCACGAGACTCACCGGCGCATGCGCAGCGCTGAACTCATACGTCATCCGCCCGGAACTGCTTCCGTGTACAACAGTTGGCGCAAGCTAGATTAAAGTGATTATTACGTTTTGAATATGGATATTTTTCTTACAAAAACACATCGATTCGCTACAGAAGGCCTTTGTTCACCCCTCGGAGCCGTGTGAGACCCAGCCGTGTCAAATAAGCAGAATTTGACTTGACAAAACGAAATACATAAAGCATGACTATAACAAAAATGGCACAAATGAGCTCTGCTTATTAGTGTGTTCTGTCAGATATCCTCATATTGTCCATATGTCCTTAATAGGAACAACAGCTTCAAATGCAGATATACATTCACACGCGCTGAGATTCAATGCGAATGTCAGTACATGTAAATGAGATTTAGTGTAAAGAGTAAGTCAGACCTCAAAACGGCAACATTTCCACATTTGGGATTGAAGATTCCAACTTCAGCCTCCGAAGAGACTGTAATCTAATGAAGAATGGTCTTCACAGCATGTAAACAACATGAACAAAATGTGAAAAATATAGACAAAATAGTTCTATTCAGTCTTGTCTTATTTAGAATGATCCCAGTAGATCATTTCCATTCATGATCAGTTTTGTATCAATGTATTCTTCTTTCTCTCTTTCCCCATAGTGTCGCCTCCAAAACCAAATTTTTTGAGAACGCTTCGAGGCAGGTGGGGAGGTATGTATGCGTGTATTTGAGGGCATATGAAAATGGACATGTGTGTGTGTGTGTGTGTGTGTGTGTGTGTGTGTATGAACCTTTCATTGTTTCCAGCAGCTGCCTGACCTCACTTAGAGCGGAGCCAGTAAAACCTGATGCACTTTTGATGTTTGTGCTTTCAAATAAAGTTGTGTTTAATACACGACCACATGCTGAAAGTCCTTGTGTTACAGACCAAATAAAAACGGGACTAGACATACATCCGATCGGTTGTTTAGTCCTGGATGATGGTTTAGTTTAAATCTTTCAAATAGACAGGTAGTTTAGAGCAGGTAATTTGATCCATGTCTGGGAAAAGTCTTAAAACACACACACACACTCAGATTTGCACCTACAGGCACATAGCCTTATTTGAACCCTTTGGCTTAAAGGAATAGTTCATCCAAAAATAAAAATTCTGTCATCATTTAGTCAATTCGAATGTTGTTTCACGCCCTTTCTTCCTTTCATGGAACACAACATGAGAAATTCGGATGAATAATTTGGTCTGTTTTCCAAGCAAATTCCAATTAATCCATTTATAAGCTTCAAAAAGGATGTAAAAGCACCATAAAACTGTTCCGTGTGACTCATGTGCTACTGTATATTCCAAGTCTGCTACGTCATACAATAGCTTTGTGTGAAGAACAGTGTTCTCGCTCATGTTTGACCGAATGTCCGGTTCATGTACAATTCATTCTTCTAGGCTGAATCAGTATTCTGAATGTGAATCAGTGATCTGAGTATTCCTGTAGCTCAATCAATAGAGCATAGCGCTAGCAAGGTCATGGGTTTAATTCCCAGGGAATACATGAATGAAGTCAAATGTTGTATATCTTGATTTCAGTGCAAGTCATCTTGGATAAAAGCATCTGCCAAATGTGTAATTCTAAATGAATCATTCATGTAAATACTTTATTCACTAATCAGATTGATTCAGTTCAATTCAATGACTCAGCACAGCAGTTAACAAATGACTTCATGTGTCTTGATTCGTTTTTTATTTTATTTTTTGGTACTTTTGGAGCTTGACATCCCCTGGTCATAAACTGGACCAGTTTAATGACACTTTTATGATTTTTTTGTCCATTTAGATGCTTGAAATCTCCAGTGCTCAGTCATTTTTACTGCATGAAGAAGAGCGACATTCTTCACATTTATGTTCCACAGAAAATAGAAAGTCATACAATTGAGTAAATGATGACAGAATTTTCATTTTGGGGTGAATCAAATGTTGTATATCTTGATTTCAGTGCAAGTCATCTTGGATAAAAGCATCTGCCAAATGCGTAATTCTAAATGAATCATTCATGTAAATACTTTATTCACTAATCAGATTGATTCAGTCCCATTCAATTCAATGACTCAACACAGCAGTTAACAAATGACTTCATGTGTCTTGATCACAGAAACATTGTTCAAAATATCTTTTTTTATGTTCCACAAAAGAAAGTCATATAGGTTTGAAACGACATGAGGATGAGTAAATGATGACAGAATGTTCATTTTTGCCTGAACTATTCCTTTAAGCACAAAGGTTCAAATAAGGCTACAGTGTCTGTAAAATGTTCTAAGACACAAGAGGAAAGTACAGATAAGTCAGACGAGCTACTGCTGAGATGTTAGGTTGTGTATGGACAGTTTGTGTGTGTGTGTAATCTAAAATAGGTATGAGCTGATCTTTTACTAAATTCTGAATTCTGAATTACGAGATGATGAGCAGTTTGGCTGCCTGTTTGAGTTCGGAGGATTCTCTTCACTGCTCATGGAGGCTCTCCAAGCCCACGCACACACTTGTGTAGTTCAAGTTCAAGGCCTTTCACAATGCTAGAACACATCCCTGAAGGAACTCTCAGAGGATACTAAGATAAAAGGTTTGACCAATGCAAAGCATCAAAGTTAACAAAAATGAAAGTCTGTAATGAAGCAGCACACTCCACTCATTTCATGAGCTTGTGAACACTGCTCGCAACGCAGGTGCCCATATTTCATGCGCATAAAATCTAATGAACCGTTGATAGTGCAAGTGTCATTTTAAAGGAATAATTCAGCCAAAAATGAAAAGTCTGTCATAATTTTCTAAACCTCATGTCGTTCCAAATTTTGAGGATTCTTCATTTTCCATATATATATATATATATATATGTGTGTGTGTGTGTGTGTGTGTGTGTGTGTGTAATGTAAATAAATGAAATAGTTGGATGTCATGAACATCATTGGCTTGTGCATCAGTGAATAGTTCAGCCAAAAATGAAAATTCTGTCATCATTTACTCACCCTCATGTCGTTTTAAACCTTTATGACTTCGTTTCTTCTGTGGAACATAAAAGATGGTCATTTGAGAAATGTCTCAGTATTTTGTTTCTTCATACAATGGAAGTCAGGGGTAACCAAAACAGAAACATTGTTCAAAATATCTTTTTTTATGTTCCACAAAAGAAAGTCATATAGGTTTGAAACGACATGAGGGATGAGTAAATGATGACAGAATGTTCATTTTTGCCTGAACTATTCCTTTAAGCACAAAGGTTCAAATAAGGCTACAGTGTCTGTAAAATGTTCTAAGACACAAGAGGAAAGTACAGATAAGTCAGACGAGCTACTGCTGAGATGTTAGGTTGTGTATGGACAGTTTGTGTGTGTGTGTAATCTAAAATGGGTATGAGCTGATCTTTGACTAAATTCTGAATTCTGAATTACGAGATGATGAGCAGTTTGGCTGCCTGTTTGAGTTTCGGAGGATTCTCTTCACTGCTCATGGAGGCTCTCCAAGCCCACGCACACACTTGTGTAGTTCAAGTTCAAGGCCTTTCACAATGCTAGAACACATCCCTGAAGGAACTCTCAGAGGATACTAAGATAAAAGGTTTGACCAATGCAAAGCATCAAAGTTAACAAAAATGAAAGTCTGTAATGAAGCAGCACACTCCACTCATTTCATGAGCTTGTGACAGCCAAAAATGAAAATTCTGTCATCATTTACTCACCCTCATGTCGTTTTAAACCTTTATGACTTCGTTTCTTCTGTGGAACATAAAAGATGGTCATTTGAGAAATGTCTCAGTATTTTGTTTCTTCATACAATGGAAGTCAGGGGTAACCAAAACAGAAACATTGTTCAAAATATCTTTTTTTATGTTCCACAAAAGAAAGTCATATAGGTTTGAAACGACATGAGGATGAGTAAATGATGACAGAATGTTCATTTTTGCCTGAACTATTCCTTTAAGCACAAAGGTTCAAATAAGGCTACAGTGTCTGTAAAAATGTTCTAAGACACAACAGGAAAGTACAGATAAGTCAGACAAGCTACTGCTGAGATGTTAGGTTGTGTATGGACAGTTTGTGTGTGTGTGTAATCTAAAATAGGTATGAGCTGATCTTTTACTAAATTCTGAATTCTGAATTACGAGATGATGAGCAGTTTGGCTGCCTGTTTGAGTTCGGAGGATTCTCTTCACTGCTCATGGAGGCTCTCCAAGCCCACGCACACACTTGTGTAGTTCAAGTTCAAGGCCTTTCACAATGCTAGAACACATCCCTGAAGGAACTCTCAGAGGATACTAAGATAAAAGGTTTGACCAATGCAAAGCATCAAAGTTAACAAAAATGAAAGTCTGTAATGAAGCAGCACACTCCACTCATTTCATGAGCTTGTGAACACTGCTCGCAACGCAGGTGCCCATATTTCATGCGCATAAAATCTAATGTACCGTTGATAGTGCAAGTGTCATTTTAAAGGAATAATTCAGCCAAAAATGAAAAGTCTGTCATAATTTTCTAAACCTCATGTCGTTCCAAATTTTGAGGATTCTTCATTTTTTCCATATATATATATACAGTGGGTACGGAAAGTATTCAGACTATATATATGTGTGTGTGTGTGTGTGTGTGTGTGTAATGTAAATAAATGAAATAGTTGGATGTCATGAACATCATTGGCTTGTGCATCAGTGTTTAGTATTTAGTATTTTTACTTTAGTATTATTCATATACGATTATAGTTTTTATTAATATTTTAAAGTAGCTTTTATTTTTATATTTTCAGTTTTCATTTTCATTTAGTTTACTGTAATTTTGCTATGTGATGGTCTTTTATTAGTTTTACTTCTTTCTTAAATTATTTCTATTAAGTTCTTTTTAAACATTACTATTTATGTTTAATTATATCAGTTGTAGTTTCTATTTATTTCTAGCTCATTTTATTGCTTTTGCAAACTTATTTCAGTTATCATTCAGTTGTCATGGTAAGATTTTCTTTTAGTTTGTTTTTCATCTAATATTTGTATTTCATTTTAGCTTCATTTCAATTAACAAAAAAAGATGTGATAGTTTTAGTTTCAGTTAACAATAATAACCTTGCTGACCATGTCTCGTGACCAAACTTATGACATCGAATCTGCACCATATTGATTTGTGAAGTTTGAGTTATATGGAAACATTTGATGGTGATTTTAGGACTCTTTTGGAGTTCGTCCCTTTATACTGCAATTGTAGGCAAAACAGAGTCTGCTATTGGGTTTGGAATAACATGAGTATAACTAATGACTGAATTTTTTTTATTGGGTGAACTACTGTTTTGTGTTCTACAGCTCCTCTCCGAATGTCTCACCTGCAGCTTCTAGAGATGAGGTACGGCATGTTCATTCTTATTTTTATTATTGAGGTAACCTATAATGTTAATGCTCATTATTGTCACTTGTTTGTCTTTGCAGAACACTAAGTAAGAACTTCCTTTCAGTCACAACTTGTGGATTGATGTCTTGTGGACCAATTAACGCACATCAGTGGTCAAGAGAGCACAGGCCGGTGTCTGGTCATGGTTTTGAGAGATAAATTATTAACACTTCTTGACTTCAGTTTTTTCTTGTGTGAATGAATCGGAAAGGGTACTGTTTTTTTTTTTGTGATATGCCGCCAATTTCTGCACTTGCTTACTTTGCTGTAAAACAAAGTCTTTGATTCTTGCTTGGATCAAAGAACAAAAAGAAAGCATTGAATCTTTTTTTTCTTTCTTAAACATTTTGACCTTCCTGCGCACAACAGGGAGAACTCCCTCCTGTTCTCTCACTCATTGTGTCCCTCCATATCTCCCCTTTTCTGTGACCTACTTCAGAGACGGATAAGACTTAAGGTTTGATAGTCTCACTCTACAGACACACTACAGACGATAGAAGGTGGTACAGCCCAGATGTATTAAATAATATTCTGAATCAACACTAATCAGTATTTAATTACGCAGAAGCTGAACGTGCTGTTATTATCTCAGTAATTAGTAACTGGAAGGAGATGAATGACCTGGGTGCTGGTTTTAAATGTTTTTGACAAGCAGAGTAGTTACTGTAATAGCATAGCGTTTCTCCTTTTATCTGGTGGGACACACTAGTGGTGTTCCTACAAAAAAAAGAAAGAAAAGGGATCGAGGAACTTTTGTTACTTCAACTAGTTCACAGAGCAAAGTATGCTTCAATACGCTTTTCTCTCCCTCTTTCTTGCCGCTCTTTTTTCCTTTATAAATTATCATTTGACCTTACTGATATAGAGGTCCGTTTCGGTATTTAGCTTAACTGGATCTTTAAGTCTCAAACTTTGACTGAAACATGAGCCTTTATCAGTTTCTTTGGTCAGTGTGAATCTTAAATGTGAAAGCTAAAGATTTTAAGTCTCATTCTCACTTTCACATAACTGTAAATGTGGAAATAAGAAAGAAAAAAAAGGACGTCAATATGTTTTTGGTACTTCAGATACAATAAGGGTTGAAAATTTAGGTCACTTTATGCGGGTTTGGCATGAACTCAGTTTTAGATTTGAAGCAGACTGGAGCGCATTCATTCTTATGTAATAATATTATTATCATAAAGCTTCAAATTTCCAGTTGACATTTTATGTATTTTTTGTAAATATTTTGTTGTTTCTTAAGCTGGTCGTCAACTCTTGAAAACCTAACAGTCACTAAACCTTGTTTTTTTTAATGTACTTCTGCAAGAAAATGCAACTTTATAAAAAAAATTAAAAAAAAGATGAAGTGTGTTTGTTTTTTCTTACGAACGAAAGCCATAGGTGAAAGTGCACTGAGCCGACCCAGAGTAGAAATAAAACTATACAAATGAAATGGCCTTGTGATAATAATCAATAAATGATTGCGAGGAGAACAAACCTCTGGAATCCAATTAAATTAAAACAGCTGCGCATCAGTCAAAATCCAAAGTGCAAAAAAAAAAGTCACAGCCTAAACAGTTTAGACAAGTTCCCACCACTGAAACGCTTCTCGTGCCCAATTGCTTTTACAGGATATTGTTTAGGTCCACCCAATTCAGGGTGTGTCTCACGAAAAAGTTGCAGAGAACAATTTTTAAGATTTTCAAATGTTTTTTATTGAATTGAAAGCGGTAAAACACAAACAAACTGGATTTACACAGGCTCTACACAACAAGAATCAGATACGCGATTGTCCATGAGTAGAAATCATTTGGCAAACTGCTCGAAAGAAATCGTCAGTTAACAACTGTCAATACAACACTACATAGCAGTACTAAATAATCTGCGCAAAAAAGCGTGCATGCACACACACACACACACACACACACACACACAACTGCTGTAAAAAAGACTATAAAGTTCCAAAGATTTAAGTAACAAACATCATTTAAGAAGCCAGAATTTCCTCTTCTAGTCATATAAAGCCAAACTATCTAGCTCCTCCTTCTGCATATTAGCAAAAAAATATCCCATAACACCAGGAAAAGACAGGAATTATTCACACCAGAGAAAAAAGCTGTAAAAAAGCATTCACTAATGATTAGTACTTTAATTGCTCATATCAGCCAGTGAAGAAAGTTAAAAAACCAAGTCATTGTTACATATATGGGAGTTTTTATATGGTTTACAAAGCTGAAACAGGACATAAATAGATACAGCTCTGCCTGCAAACAATTCATATGGTTTCATTAGCACATTTAGTGTCTGTAAACCAGTGTGGTGCTCTCAGTTCAACATACAACTTTATGTCAAGATACTACACATTAGAAACCCAAATTACTTTCCTCATTGTTGGGGAAAATATATCAGTGAGAAATCGTTTGGTAACATTTTTCTCCCCTAGTAGAAAGACCAATTTATAACCACAGGAAGCATCCTGGTGACATGCAGACTGTTATTAAGACTCCAGGTTTTCTTGTTCATGTGAGAGTAGACGCATTGGTAGAATCCAAGCAAAACTTTTTTTTTGTCATCAACACAGGCTAAATTCAGTATTTTGCAAAAGACACCAA